TCCATAACCCAGCCCAGTTTGCATGGATCAGGGATTTCTGGATGAATAACAGTATCCTGGCTCCATATATTGGCCTGCAGATGTACACGCAATATATGCTGATATAAGGCTCCTGCAGTTGGTGGCAGCTTATCTACACCTTGATTGTTTGGCTGAGTTTTGAATCTTTTCCATCGTAAAGTTGAGGCATCTTTAGCAGATACTTTCTTCGTTACGAGAAGACTACACAAATTCCAGTATTCATGCCAAGCTGTGGAAGTCTTCTGAAGATCAATACAAACCAGTCTGTATCATTTCCAGATTCAGAGGCCACTTCTATGCCATGAGGAATCATTAGAGTATCAGCTTCTTCTTGTGTGCTTACAGCTGTTGTTGGAGGATGCTCTGGAGTGTTTGTTTTAACATCTTTCCGTGTGAATTGTGAGAGGTACCGCTGAAACCAGAAGAAGAGTGGCTCTTCAGCCAATATACGATCATCTTGGACCAGAAAGAGCAGTGACACTACCAGGCTTCCATGCTATCACCGGTTGCAATAACAATTTTCAGGCCCGTAGCCAGGTTCTTTCAAGGGGAGTTTTCTGGGCGTGAGGTCCACGGTCGAAGCCCCGGTGGGGTCGGTGAACCCCCAAAGCAAGGGGATTGGGATTTTTGTGCTTTATGGGTCTAAATAATGCTATAAAAGCAGATATGTTTGAAAAGGTCTTTGTCTGGGTGGGTCTGCAGTGCACCAGGTGGGTTAGAGGACTTATTTGGGAAATCTGAAGAGGGGGGTTCGGCAGAAATGATGGAGGTTTGCTAGAAAAGGAGGGTTCTCCCGAACCATAAAACACCCTGGATACGAGCCTGATTATTACAGGACATATAAATGGTGTTGGAAAAAAATCAGCCCTTAAAATGTTTATGAAATCACCACCTCATGTTTACATGCTTTGGCCAAGCTTGGGATCATTTAATGTGAGAATGGGATGCAAGGAGTTTTTGTGTAGTCTTCTCTGAACGAAGAAAGTATCTGCTAAAATGCCTCAATTTTACGATGGAAAAGATTCGAAACTCTGCCAAACAATCAAGGTGTAGATAAGCTGCCACCAACTGCAGGAGCCTTATATCAGCATATAATGCATGCACATCTGCAGGCCAATATATATATTTATTCATCCAGAAATCCCTGATCCAGCAATCTGGGCTGGTTTATGGAAGATGGTAAATTGAGACCTGTCTTGTCAGAAAAGCAGGTTTGCTCTGAAGCAGTTGCTGAGCTGTTGTCTAGTGTTTCTCATTCATCAGATAGTGACAGTAATGAAGAAAGTGATAATGAACATTAGCATATTATAAAATCACTGATGTATGTAAATATAAGTAAATCGCAGTATGTAATATGGTTACATAATACTAACACACACACACACATGATTACATAATCATTTTGCCGACATCTTATCATGGTTTAATTGTACAGTAATTAATTCGCCCATTAACTTGTCACTGAACTTAAATTTTTGTGGTCCAATCAACCATGGAGGAAATATATTAATATATTTCCTCCATGAATCAACTAATTGTATTTATAACTTGATTCTGATTGGTTTATTATTCTTTATGTATATGTAAGATCTCCCAAGTTTTCTCACTTTAACGTTGATGAATATAGCAGGAGCTATCGAAATATCCGTTTGATTTTGTTACAGCTTAATAAATTTGTGTTCCGCAAGTCAACTTTCAATGATTGTACACCGTTTTTTCATTGCTTTTGCATTTTATTTTACTTGGAGCAT